TTTTTTAATAAATTATACCTATTAATATAATTTTATTGTAATTATTATTATTTACAATAAATAATATTATACTCATTTTTAATCCAAGGGTAAAAGTGTAAATTACATATTCATCTATTAAATTTTTATTTTTTATCTATCATTAAATTTAAAGCAAATATTTAAATTAAATTATTTTTAAATTAATATTTTATATTTATTTTTTTAGTTAAAATTTTTATATTTATCTTTTAATTATAATGATTATAAACTTTTTTTAACATAAGGGCAAAATAGTAATCTTACAAAATCATCAATTAAAAATTTATTTTTATCTATCACATCAATCAATTTACTCACAAATTTTTACAAATTTTCTCTACACTTTCCACTCACTTTCCCTTAATCCAAACAACCTCATTTTTCACTCACTTTCCCTTCAAATCTCTCCTTTTCCACTCCCCATTTTTCATCCTCAAATCCAAACAAAGCCTAAAGGATAAATTAGCAAATAGTCAAATCCAGTGTGATCCCACTAAAACCATATGTCTTTCTAAAGTTTATGTTTAGATGAAAGTTCACATTTAAGTATTTTAAATAAATTGAAACTAAATTAAAATAAAAAATGAGGCTAAATTAAAATTTTTTAATATTACAAAGTGAGCCTAAATAAATGTTTTAAAAGTGTTTCTAAACAAAATTATTTAGAAAGATAATAAAAGTTGCTTATTAAAAAAGGTAGAATATTGCTTGTTTTAAAAAAGTTCAGAAATGAAAAATAATTCTCGTTGAAGGTTGCGAATCTAAATTTCTTTACTTAGAATTTTTTTTTTTATTATATAAAAATATTATAATATCTTTATTCTAAAATAGAAAATATATTGTAGAAGTTCATTTATTTCTAAAATATCTCTCTTTGGCTGTTTCTCTTTCTCTCACTCGATCTCTCCTGCTATCCCTTTCCCCCTCTCTTTCCGTCTCTTTCCGTCTCTCTCACTTTCCTTCCTTCTCCTTCCCAGCCCAACCCACGAACAAATTGGTGTGCGTAAATGTAAATTCAATCTGTGTTATCAGTCCCTTCACTGTGTTTCAGTTCCTGTTCGTTCCCATGTCTAGTCTCTGTTCTTGCTCTTCTCCTTCGTTTCCAAGTTACAGTCTTAGTAGCCACCCACGCGCGGGCCCACTGAGCCGAGTTTCATGCGGCCCGAGCCCCAAAAGGAAGAAAACCAGCCACAATTCGGAAGCCCAAGAACTGGTTCGTTTGCTCACGCGCAAGATAAGCGACAAAGAGCCTCTGGTGAAGACGCTGAACAAGTACGTGAAGGTGGTCCGAACCGAGCATTGCTTTTTGCTCTTTGAAGAACTTGGCAAAGAAGACAAGTGGCTGCAATGTCTTGAGGTCCCTTCCCCTTCCCTTTACGAAATGTTATCAATATCTTAACTTTATGAATTTGATGTCTGCTGTAAGAATTTTACTATTGTTATTAATGCACATAGCTTCTGTAATTTAGTTTATACATAAGCTAATTTTAGCTTATTGGGAGCATCATTAGTGTAGGTATTTTATGGGTTGCTCGAAAATAAGCAGAGGGGAAAAGTTCAGTAAATCATATCTAGAAAAAAGATTTAGTAAGGATTGCTTAAAATTTTGCCATTGGAGTTAAAATGTAATAGGTTTCTCATGGATTGGTTAAATGTGATGTGGAACTGTGACACAAAATAAAGTAAAATAAGATGCATAATTATGCAACTTGCATATTGCATTGTGGATGCTCTGGCAAATTTATTTCATTTTTTACTTCTTTTTTGTTCTTCTACAAGTGTTTCTAGAGAAGTTTATGCAAACATGTCCTAAATTAGTGAACAAGAATGGTAATGTCAATGATTGACTCTGCCTTATTTAGTTGTGAATTTTGTTTGGCGTTCAGGTTTTCAGATGGATGCAAAAACAACGATGGTATATTGCTGATAATGGAATTTACTCAAAGCTGATATCAGTTATGGGAAAGAAAGGGCAAACCAGAATGGCTATGTGGCTTTTCTCTGAGATGCGTAATACTGGTTGTCGTCCTGATACTTCTGTGTACAATGCACTCATCACAGCACACCTTCATTCACGGGACAAAACAAAGGCTTTGGCCAAAGCCATTGGCTACTTTCAGAAGATGAAAGGAATGGAGCGGTGCAATCCCAACATTGTTACATACAACATTCTTCTAAGAGCCTTTGCTCTGGCGAGGAATGTGGAGCAGGTCAATTCTTTGTTTAAGGATCTTGATGAGAGCATTGTTTCGCCGGATATTTACACTTTCAATGGGGTGATGGATGCGTATGGGAAAAATGGGATGATTCGTGAAATGGAAGCGGTGCTTGCGCGAATGAAAAGCAATCAGTGTAAGCCTGATTTGATTACCTTTAACTTGCTGATTGATTCCTATGGGAAGAAGCAGGAGTTTGGTAAGATGGAGCAGGTGTTTAAGAGTTTGTTGCGCTCCAAGGAAAGACCCTCGCTGCCTACATTTAATTCAATGATTTTGAACTATGGGAAGGCGCGGCTTAAGGATAAAGCAGAAAATATTTTCAAGAAGATGACTGACATGGGTTACTCGCCGAGCTTTGTTACCCATGAGAGTCTCATCTATATGTATGGCTTCTGTGATTGTGTCTCCGGGGCTGTACAATTGTTTGATGAGCTGGTTGAGTCAAAAGTTCATATTAAAGTTTCAACTCTTAATGCTATGCTTGATGTTTACTGCATAAATGGTTTACCACAGGAAGCAGATTCACTGTTTGAGAGAGCGAAACACATAAAAATATATCCAGATTCATCAACATATAAACTTCTTTATAAGGCTTACACTAAAGCCAACCAGAAGGAGCTTCTTGATAAATTGCTGAAGCATATGGATAAAGATGGTATCATCCCTAATAAGAGATTCTTCTTGGATGCTTTGGGTGCTGTTGCATCTATACCAGCAAATTCAGAATCTGCTTATGCTACAACTAATTCAAACGCATCAAACTCAGAATCTGCTAATGCTCCAACTAATTCGAACCGAGTAACTTCAGAATCTGCTGATGCTTCAACTAATTCAAAAACAGCTAATTCAGAATCTGCTGATGCAGCCAATGGCTCAAGCAACCCCCAAGATTTTGCTAAGTTGGCAACTCACGTCAAGAATTTTTTGACTCATCTATGACTTGCATACAGGCAGCTAAGTTCACTTGTGAGATATTGTACTATATCTCTTTGCCATCACTTCTCTATCATTCTATTTTACATCTTATTGATTCTTCTGAGGAGCAGAATTTACTTTGGTCATCATATGACATCACTTGACTTTTTATAATTTTCATAATGATGACATTTACTTGAAATTAAATAATTCACTTGACTGACCTTCAAAGTTCAAATTCAGGTTTTTTATTTGGGTTTTAGATGATAAGCTCTGAAAATTTATCCTTTATCATTAATTTAAGCAAGTACCTTTAATAAATTAGGAAGTCACAACAACGAAACCTGGGGCAACTTTAGGCATTTTAAATCTGATGCTGAAAATTGATATCCGCAGGAGTTAGGACAAAAGAAACAAGAATGATAGATGATGTGTGCTTAGTTTCCTTAGCTGTATATAAAATCGATTTTAATGATTTGTTTTAATCCTTATCTTGTAAAGAAATTTATGAAAACAACAGAACATAATTTTATTCTTAACTGTATTTGTTTTTGGTTTCCTTAAGTTGTGTCTGTTCTCCTAAACATGTTTTTTTTAATTGTTTGTTCATTTCAAGTTTGCCACTAAACCCATTTTAATGAAGTTTAATCAACAGACATAGAAATAGAAGATGCTATTGCCTAGGCTTCACATGTTTATGTTAAATACTCAACTAGTTTATCTGAATTTTCAACTGCTTTATTTTACTGGTAATGGTGCAGTACAACACTAAGATGACAATGACTGCCAAAATTATGCTTCTTTGTTAATGCATTTTAAATTTGTAATTGCCTGGAAATTTCTTTTCTACCCCTTACATTAGGAAGAATTTGTTGTGGATGCGTAATCCACTGAATTTCTGGTTCAGTGACCCGTTGGAAAGTACCAAGAGGTATTCATATTTGATTGTCATCTACTGAATTTCTGGTTCAGTGACATGTAGGAAAGTACCAAGAGTTATTCATATTTGATTGTCAGCAACTTGCTGGGACAAAGCTTTTTAGTTTATATGTTCAGAGTCTCACGTTGAATAGCATAAGAATCTTGACGTAGTACTCAAGTCATTGAAAGAAAAAGTGAAAAGAATGGAACGCAAGCTCATGTCACTCAGGTGAGAAAGAACATTCTCCTATCTAATAAACTAGTCTTTTGAATTGGTTTTTCTTCTTGTACATAAGTTCTAATACTGTCTATAAAGGCTTGCAGAACTGAATAAAATACTGATATTGATACTTGGTTCTTTTTATAAACCTTCCAGGTTATTGCTGAATATCTTCAAAACATTGATCCTAAATCAGATGGTGCAAAGAGGGATTGGATTGCTATTTATGATGAGTGTGCCTCTGTTTTATATCAGGTGATGATACTCTGGAATCTTCTTGTTGCATTTTCAGTTACTTGAGATTAATTTAAGAAAATCATGTGTGGCCCACTGGCTCTCCATCATTAATATGTCATTCTTCAGTAGTGAATTCAAATATAGAGATTGCATCAGATCACAACTCTAAAGTTTGAATAGGTTCAGGTGCATGGGATGGGTAAGGAAGCTGACTCTGCTCTTTGAAATTCCCCATGGGAAATAAAGTACCATTAGGTCATGGAAGACTTTTATAACAATTTTAGTAAAGATTTTTGAAGGTTGATTAAGAGGCTCTTTGTTCAAACAGAAAGGAGATTAATGAAAGTGTTACTTGAGTTGTTTTGACAGAAGGGATAAGGTGTGATCAACAATTTTACCTGGTTAGGTGATGGAGTAAAATGGCAAATAGGGAATTTTGTTTTATAGGTGAAATTATAATGCTTCAACAAGAGGCATGCTTGTTGAGAATTTCATATGTCATCAGTTGTTTTATAAAACTTTCAACAGTATTATTGTTTTTCAAGTGTTAGTGCCTAGCCAATGTAATGTATAAAGGGACTTGTTAGCACATTGCCGGTTTGGAGGGGTTGATTTGTGGATCTTGTTCTCGTTTTAGTATGATGTTTGCACATGTTTTCTGCACATCCTCAACTTTATCTGATCCTGTTAATGTAACATGGATTAACAATTTTCAGGAGATTGATTACACCAAGGAAGCTGCTAATGCAGAACTATTTGCAAGTAACTTTAAGAACTTGGATTATGTGAAAGTCCCTACAATCTTCTGGGATTATACTACTCCACAGGTTTAACCATAAGTTCTCGTAGATAAATCATAATATATAGCAGCTATACATCTTTCCTGTTTTTACTTTTGATATCTTTCTTATTTATCTATAATTTAAATATTTTTTCAATGCAGATTCTGACAATGGAGTATGTTCCAGGGATTAAAATAAATAAAATACAAGCTTTAGATCAACTGGGTGTTGACCGCAAAAAGTTAATAGCATCCAAATTTCTTCAAGCAAAGTTACTACTGGCATCTTACCTTACACATCTGTGCATCTCAATAACTGATAATGGCTACCTTATCTTCTACAGGTTAGGACGATATGCTGTTGAGTCTTACTTGGAGCAGATTTTATCACACGGTTTCTTCCATGCTGACCCCGTGCGTTCTTGTTTTGAGAATTGCTGAATCGTTTTTGTGTTGTCTCACTCTTTTGTCCTATTTTGTTTCAAGTGTAAATAAAGAGGAAGGAAATGAAATGAAATAGGACCGAATACCAAATTGGACAAATCTTAGATATAGTAGTACCTTAGGTACTCTCGAGGCTGTTCTCCAAATAGAATTGGAGTTTCACCTTGACAATATACATAATGTATATTATCGAGGTCTACGTTAAATATAAGTGCATATTGTCGAGGTGAAACTCTAATTTTAATTAGAGAACACCACCAATAATACCTATAATACTATAACTAAGTTTTGTCTTACCAAATTTCCAATGTTTGTTTAAGAGGAGACATATGAAGGATGTTTATTGGTTGGTTAAAAAAAAACCCCTCCCCCAGATTGCCATGAAAATGGAGGGAAATGTTTGTTTGAATTTTTTTTTAAAAATATTTCTATAGCAAAAAATAATAAAGGATTTTATGTCAATAAAAAAATAATACAGTTAAAACTTTATTTTTTAATTTAAATTTAACTTTTTTAGCTAAAGGTTTTTTATACAATTTATTTATTTTCACCCACACTTCCACTCTTTCAAACAAGTGAAGAGAAATTTCTTCTTTACTTTCTTTCATATTTGTATTCTTCCAAACAACACATCTTTTCTACTCTACCCTCTCTTTCTCTTTTGATTCCATCCATTGTATATCTGTCCTTATTGCTTTCCTCTCTATTTCACTTCTAATCCAAACACAACATTAGTGTTTCTTTTGGATTGTCTAGCTGGTAAATAATATTGTGTAGCCGACATGTTATGTTTTCTATTTTTGAATTTACTCATATACTGCAACATTCAAGCGTCGATTGCCTGAGTTACAAGTAGCATGCTGCCTATTTCATATAGATTATAACTTGTTGCCTTGGGTGGGAAAACTCCGTAGGACTTAATCACAGGGGCATTAGAAGTAACTTCCTTCATGTGATGAGAAATAGTGACTGCCAAGCATCCAAAACTGTTAGGGACTCATTATTATACTGCCCTGACATGTTTTTAATCCCCCCCCCCCTTTTTCTAGGGAAAAAACTGTGTTAAATGAGGATGCATAAATTTTGATATTGTTAGGCTTACTCGAAAATCATGTGACTCGAAAAAGGGTGTGAAAATTACTCGAAACAAAAGATAAAGGTTAAACACCTACCAAGATTAAATTGAGAGCCTTATTTGTTCACATGTGAATGTGTTCGAATAGAATTAATTAAATTGAACAAAGGAGTGCTCGAAAATTTATCTATTTTCATTAAGGGGTTAAGCTAGAACGCGGTCTCGATAGCAACTCGGGAATGTAATAGTAACTCGAAATTGTAGAGTTGTTATTGAAGGAATCTTAACAGTTAAGGCACACTAAGGTGGTTATTAAGGGTCGAATCGAGTAAAGTTGAAGCGTGAGGCGAACGGTTATGGGAAGTTACAATTTAGAGTCACGTAACAAGCATAGTGGATAGTGGTTATCCCCTAGTGGCGTACATGCATGAAATTAACCGTTCTTGATTGGCTCTATAAATACAGAAGCTACGTACCTTCACGGAGGTCGGAAAAACTCATACTTGAATTAACTTCTGAAGCACTCTCTGCCTACACACATATGGCTTTCGTGCACAAGATCGTTTTTGGGTATGACTAACTCTCGGCCACTTTTCTTTTGCTTTTTAGGAGTAGAATTAGCATAGTTATCTTAGTTATTTCTTTTAATCACGTAGTTATATTGCTTTGATATTGTAACTCTGGAACATTATACAAGTTGAACCATGATTTGTATTGCAAGTATCTCAATTATTCATTCTGTTCATCTTAACATTTATATGTATGGAAATTATTGCTTGTTAATTATTGAGGAATCTTTAGAAACAAGTAATTACTAAATCTTCCTACTACTCCTCTTCTCGTTTTATAAGACTAAAACTCAGAAATATCACATATCTAAATTGAAACGTTTTTCGTGCTAGTTCAAGTAAAAAGAATTCATAAAACAAGTTCCACCGTAAACACATATATTTGTGATTATCACGTGAGAGGTTCAATTTGATGCTTCTCGTAGCTAATATTTACATTGTTCATGCAGCATCCTGGAAATATTGCAGTTGATGATGTCAATGGTGGAAGATTGATCTTTTATGATTTTGGAATGATGGGAAGGTATGTTCTTTATCTTTTCTGTATATTTAAAATATGAATTACAAGTCGAGCATTTTACTCTTGGTGAGATGGATACATTTGCTTATTATGATTGATATTGCACCCTACAGTATCAGTCAAAATATCCGAGAAGGTTTACTTGAAGCTTTTTATGGAATTTATGAGAAGAACCCAGAAAAGGTAAAGTAATTGTTTTTTATGGATGGCGTTCCATAATATGATGAAAATTCTAGCATATTTCATTCTCAATTTTAAATTATTTACCAAATGAAAAAGGGCTCACTGGAAGAAAAAAAAAAGGATATGGTAGGGAATACAAATTGGACCAACTTCACTGGACCCTTAAAAATGGGTCAATCTGTCTCGTCCCAATCAAAAAGCGGGTTGAAATTTCTTATTCATCATATTTAGCGGTAGATCCATGAGTTAATCTGCTTAATAATTTTCTAAAAAATATTTATATATAATAATTATTTAAAAATTAAATATATTAACTTAATTTTTAAATATTATTTTTCAACCCAAAAATAAATAAATAAAAATTCATAGAAAAAATAACATGACTATTCACACACACACACATAATTATATATTGTAATGCTAAACATGACTTTAAAATGATCAAAATTAGTACTATTATTTTATTTAAATCACGTATATCAATATAATAAAATGAGACTCTAACATACAAAAAGTAACATAATATAAGAAAAAATAAAAAATAAAATGGATGGACAAGTTTACTTGTTACAAGTAAATTCGTATTCATAAATAATACTCAAATTTGTCACAACTTTGACGAGGAATATCCAGTTTAGTCAAGTACGTATACGAATATAGATAATACTTTATTTATGTTTATACATTAAATTCACTAGTAGTTATTTTTTATATTTATGTTTTATTTTTTTGCATATATGATGATGATTATTATTTTTATTTTTATAAAAAATCATTCTATTAACTTAGCGTCTTGGATTTGCTGGTATCACACAGTATTTACAAAGTTACATAGAATATTCTTAAAGAAATGTTGTAAACAAATATGATTTAGTAAATGCAATTGTAAGATGTAGAATCTTTGTATCCTGTGACTCTTGAGGATTTATAAATGAATTTGAATATAATAGTTGTGACTTGTGACTTGTGAGTTTGCTAATGCTGAATAAGTTCGCTTGATAAAGTTTTTCGACACTATATATCAGGCATGACGATTTTCTTTAAAGTGTTGTTTTATCACTCTTTAAATCATGTCTTTTTAGATATAATAGTTTGTAAACTCTTTTTTTTTTCTCCATTAAGTTGAAGATTCGAACATGATATATGCTAGCTAATTTGTATAACTTTGAAATTCCATGAATTTTTTTCTGTCTTTTTAATGGATAAAGTCACGACAAACGAAATAAATTATATAAATACGGACGATTATCTTTTATAGTAGGTTTTTTAAGAACTTTTATTTGATAAGATTTTTTTTTGATTTTTTTAACTTCATATTTAATTTAATTTTTATTTATCATAATTATTTATAAATTAAAATTTTAAAATAAAGTATTCATACATAAATTTTTTTATACTACAATATAAATTATTCATAAATCTAAAATATAATTTATATATTAAAAAAAATTATTCATTTAAATTTTAAATATAGTTCATAATTCATATATTCAAACATAATATTTATTTTTATATAATTTATTATAAATTTTAATTTTATATAATAAATATTTAATCAATATTTAAATAGTAGTCATATAAATATTAATAAGATAAAAGAAGTTCAGACAATCGAATCACAATGCTTCAATTAGAACATTAATCAAACGAAAAAGATAGATGAAATAAAGCAAAGGATTTGGCACAGAGTTTAAGATTGAAGAAAAAAAATCTAAAATTTGAAAGAGAACAGTTCCCCATGTAAAATGAAAGTGATTGGTGGATGGTGGGTGATACATTGCGACAGCAGTTGTACTGAACAAGGAGAACCCTATTTGGGTACGTGACAGACAGGTTGGCATTATACAATTGTAATTTTCAGTCCACAAATTAATCTTTTTTTCCTTGTTTTCTGCGTCGTGGATAAGATCCACTGAATCTATAATAACGATGCGTCGTGCATCTTTGATTCTTTACTCTCTTCTAAAAGCTACAAACGGACCCTGCCAGCACAGCATACCCTCATCTGTGACTGTGTAACAGTAAGACAGCTATATCCCATGAAACATCATCCTTATTCTAATCATAATCATCGTTTAATTATTATTCAATCATCTAGTTAGTCTTATTCACGCGTGTAAATACAAAATGTTATTCTAACCTATTCAATCATTATTGTGTTAATTATAAGTTCAAAAGAAACATGTTTGTTTAGATTGCATCAATTCTTTTTTACATAATGATAAAATATTTGAGAAATAAATATTTTATTATTCTTATCATTTACGATTTTTACTATCATTTAAATTTTTTTATTAGAATATTAACAAATCATTTAAATTGATTAATTTATTCGCATAACTTTAGCTTTTAATTAATAAATGTTCTTTGAATATTTTTCTCATTAAAGTTGAGGATTAACATTATCTAGAGTGAACCTTATCGTTTTAGAGAGCAAAATCTGCTTATCTCATTCATTTAATCATTCAATTACTTATTTGAAAATAAGGCGAACAAAAATATCCACACATGTTAAACATTGATTCTCTTCAGCAAACAAAAACTAAATTCCCGGTCGCCAAGCAACAATATGCAGACCTACTTTTTCCAGAAAAAGATCGACTAAAAAGCTTTATGGCATTCTCTGAAATAATTAAATGCGAATTTTGTAAATCTAAATGTTAGATTGAAAGTTCATATTTTAGTGTATTTTTAAATGAATATATTATGTCAATTTTGTTTTATAAAAATAAAGTATCAAATCATTTTTAATTAATATAAAATTTTGTATATATGATCTAAGAGATATGAACTTTTAATCTAACGGTTGAATTTACCAAATTCACATTTAATATAAAATTATTGAGTAGTGTAATACTTAGTAAAAGTTACACCGGTATAATTATAACCCCTCATATATATATATATATATATATATGAGTTAATCAATTATATATTTTAATTGTGTCATGTCAC